CAACTTTTTCCCCCAAGAATCTAGCAAGATCACAGGGCATGATCATTCATTCAATGGGAAATTCAAATGGAATTTTATTTACTAACCAGATGGAATAGGTGCTTGAAATACTTTCTTACCTTAGATTATATTGGTTTAGGATAAGTAGTCCTCTTTTTAAACTATTACTATGTTTATGCAAAATTAAAGTACCATTTTCTCTTCATCATTTGATATATTGTCAAAGATGTAATTATTTTCCCCCTTAATCTAAATAATAGTATACCACATTTCCTAAAAGGCAGCCTTGTTATCCACATTCATGATTCTCCTTCCAGTCTCCCCCACCTCAAGCACAAAGACCTAAGGCTGCTTTGGTCTCTCTGAATTTATAACTTTTTTTGGTTTTTTTTGGAAATCTGGTATTTGAAATACCAGTTATAATCCAGCAATATAATGTTTCTTATGAATGCTCCTCCACCAAAAATCTAATAACATTGCATAAAAAAAGACAAAGTAACAATATTCTTCCTTCAAAACCACTCAGCTATGCAACCTTGAGTTCTTTTAGACCTTCAGAAGGTATGATCAGTATGCATAGGAAAAGTCATGTCTCTTACTTAACTTTGCAAGAGTGCACTGCAAAGCATTAATAGTTGCATTGCCTTGTTAATAAACTTCAGTCAAAATGCTTTAGGAGATAACTTGATTTAAAAAAAGAATAAAAAACATCGAAGCTGAAATATTGCTTTTATAAGCTATAAGATCAATTCACCATGTGCTGTTTTAATCAACTAAAATATATACATTTAAACAGAAAACACAGATGACTTAGCATTCTCCCATATCATGTCAATGAGCATGACTAGTTCCTTGTAATTTTTTTTTCTAATACTCTCTTGTGCTCTGACTTATGGGGGAAAAAACTTTCCATGAAAAATGTGTGCTACTTTTCCACTTTTGGCCTTGTATGTGCTTCTTCTCTGCCTTAATTGCAATATAAATCAACTGTAAAAAAAGATTTACAGTGATTACACCTCACTTAGAGAGCTGTGAAGATTGATCTGGAAGTGGTATGTTTGTCAAGCTCTGAGTCTACTTCTCATTTTAGCTGGTTTGAAAGTGAATCCCAGCACAGATATGGCAGTATTCAAAAAGAATTAAATATTAGAGGAAACAGTTTTGGTGGGTCACTCTGCTCTCTGAATATATATATACCTAACCACTGGTTGTCACTGAATATATACCTGACCACTTACTCTTCCACAATGCCAAGGCAAAAGACATTTCAAACAATCATGAACTTCAAATCCATTTACTATGTTGGAAGAAAAGATTACTACTGAACGGATCGTAAATATCCCTTCATTTTTTTTTTATGTGGTGATCTGTGTGGGATGGTAATTGGAACAGAGATCTTCTTATTTTGAGTGGATTAACTCTTATCTGTGCCATCAAGAATTTCTTATGGACTTATAATATTCAGGTCACTATACTAATTTCTTGGAGGGTGGTTAATCAGTTCTTGTTTATGAAGTTTGTTTTTTTCTAAAGTTCATTCATTAATGTAATCACACCGAAGCAACACACAAATGTAGAGTTAAAAGATCAAAGTAGACACAGTATAATGTGTACTTTCATGTTTCTATTCCCTCAAGTTTTGATCTGAGTTCAGTAGCCTGACCCAACTTTCATACCTCTACTCATATCTGTCCTGTTCGTACTGGTGCCACTCTCATCTTAAAGATGAAAGAGATGAAATAGCATACCTTTTTAAAAGATTTCTTGTAGTTGGATTTCTTTGAAAGAATCTTTTTAAACCTTGATTGCTTAAAAAATGACCTCAGTGATTCTTTCTTAATTAAATGTAATAAAACCACTAATAGATTATTAGGGCACCTGTTTTCTAGCTTGCCAACATATCCCTTTTAAAAATTGGCTCCTCTTTCCATATAACATTGCTAAAACATCATGTCTTCCTAATAAGTTGTTCCCTACTCTTATTGTTTTCCTATAGCAGAATGCTCCTGTTGAATAGTCAAGTGCCAAAGATTTTCACTCTCAGCTCCTATGAGGACTCAGAAAGGAATGTAATCATACTTAAAAAATAAAGTATATTCTCAAATCTAGAAATTAGCTAGTAATTGAAATTATCATCACAGTATTTTAACTGATGACCATTGAACTCTTTTCTGGCAAACGGCTCATAGAGCATTAATTGCACGTCACATTACAGATCTGCCGAGTTAAGTTCCATCTTGCCCTTGGGACTGTGAGGTCTAAAGCAACTTTGTAAGTGTCTTTCAGTATTAAAAAAGAATTCATTAAACTGCAGGAGTTCTATTTGGTCTGCAAAATATTTAACATGTGCCCCACTGTCCTTTCAGATGTCATTCCCTGCCCCTCAAAGCTTTATTACTGAGTATCTACCATGTTTCAACACTGATGAGGAGCTCTGCTTCCTTCCACATCTCCCCAAAACACCCCAAGTGTCTCCCTAAGACACTGCAGAAAATCATTC